TGTTACTGTTAATCTATTTTTTGTGAGTTTTATGTGTCTAAAATTTTTAGATCTCTAAAAAATTCTTATTTAGTTCAGGGAAGCTGTGAGATGAGCGTGCCAGTACACAGTACGACGACAAGCGCAGCAGTAACATCAAATGTTCTACTTTCTGGCGCAGCACAACCCGGTGTTATAATGTCAACGCCCAAAATCAACACTGTTGTTACAACACTGACACCGCCAGCACCACTTCCCAATTTACAGTTCCCAACACTCGATATATCGCAGAATTCGGAGGCTAAAAAATCTAAAGGTGGTACCTTTCACATAAACTGTTGCATCCAAATTTCTCATCTTTGAAGTATTTTTTTTTTAATTTCCTAAATATTTTTTTGAAGAAACCTCGTTGGGATAGATTGGAAAAGAGTTTCAATTCAAAATTTTTTACATTTTTCAATTCTGATTTAAAAAATAGACGCAATCTGAAGAGGGGGAAGGGACCCTGATGACAGTACTTTTCCGTTGGCAGGTTTCGCTTATCACCAGCCGATGTCTCTTCCTTTAGGGCAGTGATATAAACGGCGGCCGTTAGAAGGCCGAGTCGTTATCTTAAAAGATCTGGACGGTTTTGCTTGAGAAGTAAGCTGAAAAGCGATAAAAAACAACCAAGGATATATTTGGTGTGTGAGCGGCGTGCAGGGGATATCATTACGATCGGTCAAAAAAGTAAAAACCAATAGGCAGAGCATGTTCCTGCCCTTGCCGATGATCAGTGAGCATCGCGGAAGAGTTACTGGGTCTTGCGAGAAAGAAAACGACCACTCGGACGACCCCCGAAGACGTTGCACACATATATCGAGCAGGCGGTAGGTAGTAGCTGAAGGTGTGCAGTTCAGGTTCGAAAGGCTTGACATAATTGTGCCCAATGCGTGAAAACATCTCAGCAACATCACTAACTTGGTCACAGCTGCAGCGATAGCCTGACCAGTCTTAGTACTTTTGTAAAATTAAAAAAATTTAATGTTTCTATGTACATGATACGGCGTTTTCGCCACTGACGCGCTGTCGATCTTCTTCAGTGACTGAGCTGACAACCATGCCACCAAGTTCTATTCTGAGCTTGCCTCATCCACAATACTCCATTTTTAAAAAAGATCAAGTTCCACTGTTTCTATATATTTTTAAAATCTGAATTTTTTACAATATGTGTTTCCTGAAAACACCATTATGTTGCAGGAGATGTTATTCAGCATCGTGTCCCCTATCCAGCGCCTGCTGCTGTTACGTCAAATAAAGAATCGACAACAGTACAAACGGCGACTGCTAAAAAAGACACACGTGTCACTTATGCGTATCAGCCTGGCAAAACGTATCGAACAAAGCGTGTTTTTAAGGTTCCATCAAATTTGCATTTCATTTGTCTTAGAAAAATCAGTGGCAACTCTGTCTCTCTTTTTTTTCTTTTCCATTAAGCACTGCAACTGTCATACTGACAGGGTCCTGTCGCGCGGTGTTGAATTAAGGCGTATATTACTTTACGGATCGAAACGTCTTATCTCACTCTTATCTCCTTCTCTCTTATTGTAATCTATCACGCTTTCGCAATTTAAACTTCCAGGGCCAACCTGATTGCTACAATCTGCTTATAAAAACAACCAGATTTAACGTTAGATTTCACACGTCCATAAAGTATCGTTTAAAATTTTCACAAAGAGTTCAGTCATTTTCCACAGCCATAACCAATTGGATTTATGAATTAGCTGCAGTTTATAAAGTTCCTTAATTATGCAGGTGGTCATTTTTCCAGTTTTTTTTTGACCAATGCTGCTTTATGAGATGGACACCATGAGAGCGATCCTGACATTCGTTTCGTCTCTTGAAGGGATATCAATGATTAATTGAAAAAGCATTTGGACAAGGCTTTAGCCGCGTGCTGTTTTTTGAGCATTAATAGCTCGTCTTGGAAGACCAAAATGACCTATCTTGATGGGTAAGCAAAAGATGAGCCCTGTTTAGTTGCCGAGTGATTAATGTTTGTTCATTGTGTTCAGGTAATAATATTGGGCGATGCTGGAGTTGGAAAAACTTGCCTCAGCTTTCGTTTTTGCAATGGAAGGTTTCCGGCACAAACAGAAGCTACAATTGGAGTGGATTTCCGAGAGCGTTCGGTTGTTATCGATGGCGAACTCATAAGAGTTCGTCTTTTGCCTTTCTTAAAAAAAATTTTTTTAATTCCAATAAACATTTTTGGCATTATTTCAGCAAATTATTTTTACGGTATTTCGTTCGGAAACCACAGCTGTATCCTCAGAAAAGAAGATAATCGGGAGCTTTATCTTATTAATTAAAGCGCATTCATTAATGCATGAACGACTTTTGCTTGCTTGATAAAGTAACAATAGGGAAAAGAGAAGTTTTATTTTTTGTCGAGTTTCGGGTCTTTTCAAGTTTTTTCCGTGTTTTTTTTTAAATTTAGATATATTTTGCATGAAGCATTTTAAATTTCAATTTATTGACATCACTTTTTTTACTGTTTCAG